TGGATGATCCTAAGCATTACAGGTAGCCTTTGCTTACTGACTGCCTTGTTTAGCGACTGTTTGAAGTTACAACAGTTGGAAAAAAAAATCAGCTTTGTGACCAATCCTCCAATTTACGGCTGGTGCATCTTCCTCACAGTCACATAATCAACATTCTGGTGCTTCACAACCGGTGGGTGTTTATGACCACTGCAGTGTCCTGTGGTCATATGATTGCCATTTGGATGCTTCACAACTGGCTTCCGATAAGCAGAGTCAATGGAGAAGTCAGCAGTAAAATCACAAATCGCAGTCGTGTGATATCTCGCTTAACAACCTGTGGTAATTTGATGTTGTAAATCCATCATGATTATGTGATGTCTCGCTTAATGACCGTGTCAGTTGGTGATGAAGTTGCCAGTCCCAAGTGTGGTTGATAAGTGAGGATTACCTGCATTTTGCTAGCACATGAAATTAAGGATATTGGACCATAGTTTGCACACTCTGTTAAGTCTCCTTTTTTCAGTATTGGAATATAGATTGACCTCTTCCAACCTGTTGGCCACTGTGTCATTCTCCAGATATGCTGGCATAGCTTAGTTAGAACCTTTACTGATTCTTCTTCTGTTGCTTGCCATCTTTCTACAGTTCCTGTAGCCTTCTGACTTGGTAATGACTAAAGTGCTGACTTAACTTCATTTTCTAGTACTAGAAAGTAAGTAGGGAATATCTTCTTGGATGTCAACATCTCTACTGTACAATATTTCAGTATACTTCTATCTTCATTTGATCCCCTTTGAATCAATTACTATCTGTCCATTGGCATCCTTTAGCATACCAATTTGAGGTTGGAACCTCCTTCTGAGTTCAGAGATCTTTTGAAAGACTTTCCTTGTTTGTCTGTTCCATCTTCAATATCTTTACAGATGTTGTAATACTGCTTCTTGTCTCTTCTAACAGCTCTCTGAAACTCTTTGTTAAGTTCCTTTTTAGCATACCAATTTGAGGTTGGAACCTCCTTCTGAGTTCAGAGATCTTTTGAAAGACTTTCCTTGTTTGTCTG